TTTTTTTTTTTTGCTGAGGAAGACTGGCCCTGGGCTAACATCCGTGCCCATCTTCCTTCACTTTATATGGGACACCGCTACAGCATGGCTTACCAAGCAGTGCATCGGTGCGCGCCTGGGATCCAAACCAGCGAACCCCGGGCCGCTGCAGCAGAGCGCGCACACATAACCACTGGCGCCACCGGGCCAGCCCCCAAGATTGCTAACATTTTATTTAGGATTTTACATCTCTGGTCATACGTAGGATTGGCCCATATTGTCCTTTCTTGTATTATCCCTCTCTGATTGTGTTACCAAGGTTATACTAGCTTTATAAAATAGTTGGGGAGTGGTCCTTTTTTTCTATTCATTGAAGAGTTTAAGCTTGGAATTAATTATTTCTTGAATGTTTGGGAGACTCATCTGTAAATCTATTTGGACCTAGCATTTTCTTTACGGGAAGATTTAAAACTGCAATTTCAATGTCTTAAAGAGTTATAGATCTCTTTACATTTTCCATCTCTTCTGGAGTCAATCTGGCACAGAATAAGCAGTCAATAAAGAATACAAGACCAGCTTAAATAGATTTTTCAGTTTGAATTTCCTGGCTCATGTAGGAAGTATAAATCCGAATTCTAAATCTGCATGAAGATTGGCCTGTGGTTATGAATTTTCAGGGGATTTGTTTTTCTTACCTCCAGAGCCAGAAGTTGAGGCAGATAAGTTTCCTAAATATCTTGTCTCTTTTAGTGGGGCAGCTTCTGTTTTATTTATTTTCTTTATTAGTTGGCCCTCTCATTGAGGGGGTGGACCTTGAGAGATCTTGGCTCTATGGGAAGTTCTCTCTTCCAGTTCCTCACCTTGCACACGCCGAGGTCTTGTCTCCTTTGCCTTAAACATCACATTTAAAGCCCAAGGCTCTAGATTTCTAGAAACCAGCAATCTCTCAGAACTTCGGCTTCAATATCCACTTATTCTATAGATTTGTGCTCCCACATTTTTCATTTCTGAAAATCTTATTTTCTTGAGAGAGCAGCAATGTAGCCAAAACAATGTTTTTAATTTTGCATCCAGAATGTTCAGGTGTTTTTAGCTGACTTGTTTTTAGGAAATCTAGTCTGTCATAATGCCTGAAATGGAACTGTCTAGTCCTTCTTTAAACTAAAAAAAAGATTTGGGAGAAGTTTTGAGATTCCTCAAGAAGACTGAAGGACAGATGCTTATAGATAGACTAGGGATTTCCACTAATAACCTTCTAATACAGCTCTATTCAACTTTCTGTGATGAGGGAAATGATCCACATCTGTGCTGTCCAAGATGGTAGCCACTAGACTAGGGATTTCCAATAATAACCTTCTAATACAGCTCTGTTCAACTTTCTGCGATGAGGGAAATGATCCACATCTGTGCTGTCCAATATGGTAGCCACTAGCCATATGTGGCGATCAAGCACTTGCAATATGGCTGTATGACTGAGGAACTGAATTTTCAATTTTATCTAATTCTAATTAATTTAAATGTAACTAGCATGTGGCTAGTGGCTACTGGATGGGACAGTGCAGAGCCTTCTGTTTCCAAACAAGCTGAACAAAAAAAATCATCAATAGACAAATGCCTCTGAAGCCAAGCAAAGATCTTTAGTGCTACCAGAAAGGTCCCTTGCACTCTGCTGTCTGGTACTCTAATAGGTCCTCTGGTGGCTGAGGCTTCCTATGAGCTCATCCTTTCCTTTAGCCAGGCCCTCTTAGGAGTAGAATTCTGACCCCATGGATATTTTAATCAGAATTACACCTGCATTGATGAATTTGCCACTAATGAATAGATTTCCCTACAATTTCATTTTATACCTCTCCTTTGCTCACTACATTCTAGCCATAAGGGCCATTCCCGTTTCTAAAAAATGTCAAGCTTATTACTGCTTTAGGGTCTTTAGCATCTGGTATTTACTCTACCTGAAATACACTTTCCTGGTCTCTTCATATGGCTGGTTCCTTCTCATCATTCAAGTCTCCGCTCAGTGTCACCTCCTGAGAGGCCACCCATGACCACCTTATCTAAAGTCCTCTCTATCCCCAGGCTCTATCACACTGTCTTGTTTTATTCTATAAATAGCACTTAATCATTACCTAAAATTATCATATTTGCTTACCTCATCTCCATTTGAATATGAGTTCTATCAAAATAGAGGTCGCCTCTGTCTTGCTCAGGATGGATAGTCTGGCACATAGAAAATGGAGGCCTACAGTAAGTGACTTCCCCAAAGTTGCAAAGCTAGTCAGTGTTGGGGCAAGAATTCATGGCTCCCAATTCAGGGCTCTTTTGTTAAAACATAGCTACTCTGCTCCGTTCTCTTCCCAGTAGCAAGCAAGGAAGCAAGCAAGTGGGAGGGAGGCAGAGAGACAGATAGAAAGAGAAAGAGAGGAAGAGAAGGAGAGAAAGGAAGGGAAAAAGGGGAACGCACAGCTAGAGATTTTCCTAAGATCAGGACCTTGGAGTTTTGAACAGGTTTTGCTATTGCCATTTACCCCCAAGGACACTTGTTCTAGTTCTGCATACAGTTTATAACCTCTTACTGTATATTCCTAGAGGGTGAGGGATGTATCCAGGAAACTTGTGGACAGGCAGCAAATGTTTTTGGTTGAAGATAATTATCCCAGATCCTATGCCCCCACCTCCCCGCCCCTCACTAATGCCCTCTGCTTCACAAAACAATTAGCCTTTATCCAACTCATAATATATATTTCTGGTAGAAATAATCAACCCAAATGCAAACTGTCATTGAGATATAGTACACTTTGTTATTGACTAAAAATTGCAAAAACTGCCCCCCCATTAGGTTTATCTGAAAAACAAACTCAAAATAAAACTGACACTGGAGAAAATAATAACATTTTTGACTGACTAAAACTAGATGTAAGTATCAAATCTTGACAAAATGTAGATCTGTCAAATAACACCAAGGGAAAATGGGCTCGCCAGAGATAATGGCCACAGAAGAAACTTACAAAGGCAGAAATTATAAGTGAAAATTTTATACGGCCAAAAAAAAGGAAAAGAAACTCTGATAGGTGGATCACATTCATGCTGCAAATACCATTTCCCGGAGACCATAGCAGACGCAAGGGCGAACTAGATGGGGGAGACAGAGGCCGCCAGCTGGGAAGAAAAGAAGCAAGTGATGAAATGTATTTCTTTCCCTGTTCAATTATCTTTCGTTTCAGCAAGAAGTACTGAATCTATAAAGAAACGAACTGAACGCGATGAAAATTTCTGTAAAATGAAAATGGGTGAAAAATGGAAATAGTTTAAGTGCTCTCTACAAAAATCCGCCATGAAATAAGATCGGCTCAACAGATTTGTTTCAGAAACATTCCTTCCGCGCTAACTCATCAATGTTGGTATAATTCTTATTAAAATGTCAGTATTCAGACAAGGTGTCAAGGCATTCAGAGTCCAAAGGGTGTCCTCCAGCTCCGGGCCCCGGAGCGGCTGGGGGCGCCCTCTCCACTGCAGCATCACTAGCCTGCCTATTTGGGGACTCGCTGCCTTCTTTTCTTTTCCCTCAGTACCCGCCTCAACTCGGGGCCGGCCACCACGAGGGGACCAAGGGCAGTACCTTGAACGTTCATTTCGGACAGGGCACAGGAATCACCGCTCCAAGGCTCCGTAGAGCCGGGAGCACTGCGGGCTCTGGCGCGGAGCAAGTCGGGAGTTGTAGTTCGATCCCGTCGTAGAGGCGGGAAGCCGCGACCCGCGAGCGGCCGGAAAAGGCGGGGCCGCGGCTGGGGTTTGCGCAGGCGCACACCTTCTGCCGGCCAGCATGGCGGACACAGGGCCTCCGCCCAGTAAGAGGAAGCGCGAACTGGATGCCGAGGAGACGGAAGCCCCCAGCACAGAGCAAAAGGAAGCAGGCGTTGGGAATGGTACCTCTGCCCCTGACCGGTTACCTTTCTCCGGCTTTAGAGTGAAAAAAGTGCTGAGGGAGTCCGCGCGGGACAAAATCATTTTCCTACACGGGAAGGTACCATTAGCCAGTCCGGGATGGGGATGCGGTAGGAGTGAACCAATCATCGCCTGGGAGGCGGGTCTTTTCGGAGCTCGGCTGGAAAATACCAATCGCATTACTCGGGGGAGGAAGAGTGCACCACTAGCATGCATGGGGACGAGGGCGTGGAAGAGACAAGACTACCCTTGGAATTAAGGAAATTAGCACACGTAGGGCTAATTTTCCTAATTCCTCCTTTAATATAAATAACTGACACTTGTAGAGTGTATTGCAGATTTAAAAATCACGTGTTAAATTCTGCAAGCCATTCACCATTTATTCATTCAACCTGTAAAGGTGCTAGGAACCCAGTCAATGTTGCTGGACCGTCTTGCTCATCCATGCCTCTGGGAATGACCAAGAGACTGTAGGAGATATGATCCCTGCTGTACAGGACTTCAGCCCTAACAGAGGAGACAGTTTATTGCATTAGTAATTCAATTCCACGTATCATGCACTTACAGGCCAGAACTGAACGAGGTCCTGGGGATGTAGAGATGAAAGTTACCATCCCTGATCTTTAGGAGTGCAGAGTATCTTGAGGTATACAGACACACACAGCTGGCTCTAATACCATGTGCTCAGCTCTCTAGCAGGGACTGAGGAGACACTGGAGACCATCCTAGGAACTAGTGAGGAGGCCTAGCCAAGGGCAAGTATTAGGGTTTCCCAGAACTCCCAGCAGGAGCTCTCATTTGGGGAGGATGGCAGGGGGAGGGGGGACCTGGGCTTAGGCTTCCATGCCTCTCTCTGTGTCTCTTGTTTTTTACAAGGTTTTGTTTGGTTCTCTCAGCCTCCTCTGTCTTCAGTCTGCAGCACCTGCTAAAGTTTTAGCCGTGAGAACCTTAGAGCTAGGAATTAGCTGGCATACCCAAATTCTAATTCTAGTTTCTCTTTCAACATTGACTGTTCATATAACTTTGGACAAATCACTTAATTCCTCTAGACCTCAGTTTCTTCATCTGTAAAGCGGAGAATTTGACAGAGGCCTTGTGAGCCTAAAATGGAAGCTAGCTGAGAAGCTTTGCATCTTTTAGAAGAAAGATGTGAGCACTGCCACAAGGATTTGGGTTAATGAGATGCCTCCTCTGGGAGAAGAAACATGAATGTTGTTGGCTAGACTTGCCCAGACGGAAGACTACAGGGAAGGAAATCCCAAGTGTCGGGATGTCCAGGGCCCTGGGAGCTTCTACCTCTGCTCTCCAGGCCTCACCTGTGGCTCTACCCCTGAGCCCACTGATGGTGTCTCTGCCCACAGGTGAATGAGGCCTCTGGGGATGGGGATGGAGAGGATGCCATTGTGATCTTGGAGAAGACGCCATTTCAGGTGGAGCAGGTAGCCCAGCTCCTGATGGGCAGCCCTGAGCTCCAGTTGCAGTTCTCCAATGACATCTACAGCGCCTATCGTCTGTTCCCTCCAAAGCAGCTGAGTGGTGAGCAAGTGGGGGCTGAGATGGCTGCATGTGGGGAGAGTGGGTGGTGGGAAATTAGGGGTGTGGTGGCTTGCTCTCCATAACCGATTTGCATGTTCTAGTGCAATAGTTCTGGAAGGAGGAGGAGATTTTGCCCCCCAGGAGACATTTGGCAATCTCTGAAGACATTTTTGGTTGTCAGAACTGGGGAGGAGGGGATACTGGTGGTACCTAGAGGGTAGAGGCCAGGGATGCTGCTAAATACAGGATGGGCCCCCATAACAAAGAAATGTCAATAGTGCCAAGGTTGAGAAACCCTACTCAGGTGTAGTGTGTTTTGGGAGAGAGTGTGATTCATGGGATAGGACAGTTTCATCTACTGATTCAGTAATAATGATTGTCAACACTAACTAAACCCTTATTATGTGCTGGCCACCATTCTAAGTATTCTACGTGTATTATCGTATTTCATCCTCAAAATAGCCCTGTTGTGATAGGACTTGACAGGTGAGGGACCTGAGGTTTTGAAAGGTTGAGTGCCTTGTCCAAGACCACACAGCCAGTAGGTGGCAGAGAAACTAAGATCTTTCAGTAGACTGAGGACATGCTCACCACATGCTGTGGAATGAGTGGTGTGCTGGGTGCTGCAAAGATCAGTTACTTCCCCGAAGGAACTAGCTCTCTAGTTGAGGAGACAATGAGTGTGATCGAGGGGGATGGACTTGAGAAGGGCAGGAATTCGTGGGTTAAAAAGCAGAGATTTGGGGGCTGGCCCAGTGGTGCAAGCGGTTAAGTGCACCGCACTCCGCTGTGGCAGCCCAGAGTTTGCCGGTTCGGATCCCGGGCGCGCACTGATGCACCACTTGTCAGGCCATGCTGTGGCAGCGTCCCATACAAAATGGAGGAAGATGGGTGTGGATGTTAGCCCAGGGCGTCTTCCTCAGCAAAAAAGAGGAGGATTGGCGGACGTTAGCTCAGGGCTGATCTTCCTCACACACACACAAAAAAGGCAGAGATTTGTTTTTGATTGCAAGTATTTTTTAATATATTAAGAAGAGGAAAGGGCCGGCCCCGTGGCTTAGCGGTTAGGTGCGCGCGCTCCGCTACTGGTGGCCCGGGTTCGGATCCCGGGCGCACACCGACGCACCGCTTCTCTGGCCATGCTGAGGCCGCGTCCCACGTACAGCAACTAGAAGGATGTGCAGCTATGACATACAACTATCTACTGGGGCTTTGGAGGAAAAAATAAATAAATAAAATTATTAAAAAAAAAAGAGGAAGAAGGCGACTATTCCATGCCAAAAGCTAGGCGTGATGTTGGCTTTTTTCCTTAGGTGGTTAGATTGAGTAAGCAGTTTTGTTGGAAGCATGAGGGAGGGAGACTTCGGAGGTTCCTTCCAACCAGGAAATTCTGCGATCTGCTTTGCAGCACATGGCAGTTTTGTAAAATCCTTCTGTCTTTTTATTTGCCCTCCAGCATTTAAGAAGAGTTTGGCTTTACAGATACCCTGCCACAGCCTTTTTGATAGATTTAGTCTTTTCTGCACCCCCAAGAAAGGGTGCTGTTGTTGTCCCTGAAAATATATGTGAACACTTGATGTGAGACAAGCAAACCTTTCAGAACTGAAAGCAGAACAGCCTGGCCCTCTGTTGAAAGAGAGCCAGACTGATTGGTTCAAGTTGACAGAAGTGGACAGCTGTATTTACTTTCTCAGGCCTTGATGTTGAAGCAAATATATTCCTCAGCACGGAGTGGCAGAGGCATGACAGAAGGCACTGTAGCCCAACACCACTTGGGGCAGCCCCCAAACTACAGGCTCTGGGGCCACCATTCTGCTGCCAGCCCTTCCCCTCGCCTTCCCCCAGCCCTCTATCCACCCTCCCCACCCTCAGCCAAAATCCAGAAGGTTCTGCTCCACGGAGCAACCCTGTAGAATTCACAGCCTTTTCTTTTCATCTTATTTTCCCAGTACTTCTGTGGTACTGCTCACAAGTGGTGTGACCGCTGCCCTGCCTTTCTGTTTTTGTCGTTGTTTTCTAAGCTAAGCACTGAAAGAGGCAGTGGTTATCAGCTCACCATAGCTCCTCTTCTGCACTCAGAACCCCAAATGTCTTTCTGCCTTTTCCCAGCACTACCCACTCCCCCTGGGAGCCTCGGATGTTAGCTCATCCTTCCAGGGCTCACTGTCTTAGCGTAAGCGTTAGCATATGTACAGTGCACTATGCTTTTCTTTTCCCTGCCTAAACTAGGCCTGGTGATTTGGAAGTCATAACAGTTTGCCTCATCTCTCTCTTGTTTAGCTGTACACTCTGTCCCTGGATGATATTCTAAATCGGGCTGGCAGACTTTTGCTGTAAAGGACCAGAGGATAAATATTTTAAGCTTTAGGAGCCACAAATGGTCTGTGTTGTGCATTCTTCCTTTTCTTTTTTTAACAACGCCTTTAAAAATGAAAATACCACTCCCAGCTTGTGGAATGTACAACAGGCCCTGGGCCAGATTTGACTTTCTGGCCAGTTTGTCAACCCCTGTTCCAGACTTTTCTCACTCAAAGTGTGGTCTGTGGACCAGCAGTGTTGGTATCACCTGGGAGCTTAGAAATGCCGACTCTCAGGCCCGATTCCAGACCTCAGACTCAGAATCTGCATTTTAGCAAACCACCTAGGGTGAGTCCTGCACATTAAACTGAGAGGCACTGGTCTTTAAACACCACCTGTGTGCAGGTGAAGTCCACGTTTATTTCTCCAGCTCCGTCTCCATCCATCTCCATTTCTCCGAGGCTCGTGTTGAAATAAACGCCACTAGATTTCTCCATTTGGAAGTCTCATAGGTACCTCATAGGTGAAATGTGAGAATCAGGTGCGCTAATGGTTTAAAAGTACTTAGCACATATTAAACAGTAGCTGTCATTGTTATTCTGATGTACCAGGCCCTGTGCTGGGGACTGGAGCTTCAGAGATGAGTAAGATACCATCTCTGCCCTCACAGTCTTATCTGGGGAGGGGTAACCCCCAAGTTATTATGAAAAGAGGGAAGTAAACTCAACAGGGTCTGGTCACTGTCTAGATGTAGGGAACAGAGGTCCTTGAAAGTTTGAGCCACATTTTCGGTCCTCAGCAACCAGACCCCATGTTAAGTGCTCAATGAATGGCCACTGAAGAAAGAACCCACTAGCTGACCCATCTCTATTTTTTCCTGCGTACCAACCATTCCACAGCCACGAGGTGGCAGCATTGCCGAAGTGTTCCTGTTGCCAGCTCCTTAGGCTTGCGGACCAGAGCCTTCTCAGCCTCGCTTCTCCAGTCTCAGTCTCCCATCACCAACTCTTTAGCACTGCCTGGAAGGGCCTTAAAGCGTGGTTGCTGCAGCCTAGTCCCTCTGAGCCCCCTGCGCAGTTGTCCCTTTGAGTTTTTCTTCTGTCTCTGGCTGTTTCTCTAGACCCCCTTCCCAGAATACTTTCCTAGGGGAGCCGCCCCCCGCCTTCCCCTTCTAAGCTGATTTCTTCTGGTATTTCTCTGGTCATTGGCAAATTTCTTCTAGCCTGAAGGTTTTGCAGTCTTCTCATTTATCCCTTCCAGATTCTCAGCTGACCACAAGAGACTGCTCCTGTGAGCCACTCATGGCCTCCCACCCCACTGACATAATAGAGAGCAAGGGCATCGGAGTTAGACATGCTTGGGTCCTGTCCCAGAGCTCACACTTACTGGTGGTGTGGCCTGAGGCATTGCCGTGCCTTTTCTGAGCTTTCGTGCAGTGCAGGGGTTAAGAGCAAGCCTCGGGTCAGACATCCCTGGGCTGGAATCCTCGCCTTGGCATTTACCAACCGTGAGGACTTGGGAAGTTTCTGTGTTCATTTAACAAAGTTGAAGCACTGCCTGTGTGCAGGTGCTGGGCTGGAACGTACCGGTGAGTGCCTCAGATATGACCACTGTCTTTGGAGTCATTGTGGGAAGGCAGACGGCAAACAAGGTAATAGATGTCTAAGTGGCCATGAACAGGAGAGGTCTGCCTGAGCTGGGCGTCCAGGAGGGCTCTCTGTGGAGATGACGCCCAGGCTGTCCCCTGAAGGTAGAAAGGAACCAGCTGTGCAGAGAGCTGGTGAGGGGGGTGAGGAGAGTGTTCTGGACTGAGGGAACAGCGTGTGTTCTGGGGCAGGAAAGGGGAACAGAAAGGAGGCCGTCATGTTGGGAGCCTGAGGGAGCGGCTGGTGGCTGTGATGTGCGGCAGCTCAGATGAAGTTGGGGAAGTCACTTCAGCTGTTTTCTTGTTAAATTGTCAGTAACTGAATGTAACCTCAGGACAGTTATGAAATAGATGAGAGGAGAAAGATAAAATTTTTTAGCTTCTTCCCATAGTGAGAGATACACTTTACATTGTGACCATGTGAATAAATATACATGGATATAGGGGGAAAAAACGTTCACCAAGCGATACTTTGTGGGACACTCTCTAGTATCCTCAACTGAATTCCAGTCTTGTCTGTTTCCCTTTTATTTATTTTTTTTTGTGAGGAGGACCAGCCCTGAGCTAACATCCAATGCCAATCCCCCTCTTTTTTTAGTGAGGAAGACTGGCCCTGGGCTAACATCCATGCCCATCTTCCTCTACTTTATATGGGATGCCACCACAGCATGGCTCAACAAGCGGTGTGTCAGTGCGCACCCAGGATCTGAACCAGCGAACCCCGGGCCGCCGCAGCGGAGCGCGCACACTTAACTGCTTGCGCCACTGGGCCGGCCCCTGTTTCCCTCTTTTTTAAATATAGTTTTAACCTCCTAATTTCATCACTTTCAGGGTTGTAATCTCTTGAGATAAGGTGTATAAGCCACATAGCACAGCAGCGGGCATATGGGGTGTATTCCATGTGTTACTCATTTTCTGTTATTCTTTTCTCACCCTTAAAATTATATGAGCCTTAAATGGAACAGTATATGTAACATATGGAAAAAGGCCTGGCCCTGATCATGAGCAGGTTTCATGTGGCAGATGTGAGGGCCGAGGGGGCCAGATGGATGGCATC